TGTTAAAACCCCTGAAATATTTACAGTATATGTACATTTAACACCCAGAGGGGATTGTTTTTTCTCCAAAAGTGGAGTTACTTCTAACAAGTCATTCGGTGCAGATCTTTGGACTCACAAAATGTGTTCTGTGTGCTTAAAGTAATAGATAACTAATCAAAAGTTGTTTACTTGTGCACAGTGCACATCCTAACAATGGAGTGAAGAACTAGAGTGCAACCCTCTATAGGGGGGATCTGCACCATTTAGCAATTATTTTAAGTTACACTTGGATTCTGATAATTGTCTCATGGATGCCAGCGCACAGACGGTCAAGTAAGAGAAAAAGCTACTGAAAGTAATTTAAGATTTAGTACAGAAAGAGGTGAAAGCTGAAGATGCAGCCTGGCCACTGATCAAAGCATTGACAGAAATTTGCTATCTTCAGACACAACTGTTGCAGAAGCACATCTCCTTTTTTCTCTTGTTATTAGCTCAGCAAAACCTCCCCCACCTCTGTTCTTCATTTGTTCTATCTCTAGCAAACCTTAACCTTTGCATAGCACATCTATAATAAGAAACAACAATAGATTGACCGTTGCCTAGACTGCATGTACTTTTTTGCCTTATACTTGTTATTTATACATATTTTGACTTTTTTAATAGAGCCTTCAGTACTATTGTTTTCTGGATATGTACAAATATATTATAGTCTCTTTCTGTATACTTAGTGATTGCATAAAGATAAACGGGGTTATGTTTTTAAACTTGAAATAGTGGCAGAACTAAGTATCTGGTAATGAAGAATTCTTGCTAAAGCGATGGCAGGGTTAAGTGCAAAGGACATTGGTCTTAGTCTGCATTGGTGTAAACAGAAACCCTTCTCTTTAAGTAAATTTATGGGATGTTTAGCATCATGCCTCATTAAATGCAGTTTTCTTAAATGTTTCTTTTGTAAATCTGTTACAAAGTTTCTTTTCTTGAGATCCTGACAGTAACATAATTTCTTGATTTTGTGTTGCAGGCTGACAGCATTAAGCTACTACCTTGCACTTAGCAGCATATTCAGCATGCTTTCCACACTTTTTTAGGTGGCAGTTGGGCTGCCTATCCAATAGGCCTGCTAGGCAGTCCAACGGCCAACCTAGGGCTCTTTCAGGCAGTCAGTAATGCTAATCGGCCTCTGAAAGGGATCTTTGGTATTGTTTTTCAAAGGGCGATATAGCAGTGGCTGGCTGGAAGGCATTCAGGAGGTGCTACTGACACCTTTTATTTATTTATTTTGTAAACAGCAATTTTACATTGCTGGACAGTGAATCATCTGCAAGCTGATCATTTGGCTCTCAGTTGCAATATGGCCCCACTGATCTCAATGGGCAGGGTTGACAGGCAGTGCCATCTATCAAACTCTGCAGCCCAAGTTAAAATTGCTAAAACTGATTCTCAGCTGCAGCCTGTGTGCAGCCCTGATAGGCTGTATTTTTAGAATTCTGGTAGGAAGCTGGGGGCAGTAAAAAAAGTGGCTCAGCTGCCTGTTGTACTGCCAGTAGTACAACAGCAGGGGAGTTGCACAGGGAGTGCACAGCCTGCAATAGAAATTGCTTTTACTGGCAAGATCTCCAGGAGAGAAACTTTGTAACAGTTTCACAAAAAATCATTCTCATAATACAGCTGTATATAGTATACGTATTGTACATGTAGGTTTACCTAATCTAAGAAAAAGGGTGCAGAACTCACAATCTCTAAAATACATTGATGTAGGTCCACATGGATGAGGTAGAATATAAGAAAATAGGTTCTAAGGGATGGCAGGGATCCAGACCTTCAATCTTGCCTAGGACCCTGTTAGGTCTGCAGGATGTGATCCTATTCATTTAAAAAAAAAATAGACTTGCACCTGTCTGAAAGAATTAAATGTCAGAACACTGAGAAATTGTAGATACAAAAATCAGCCCATAAAAAAAGGAGATTCATTTGTAAAATGCAGCTACTTTGCCATAGGCAGTCAAAATATTGCAGATGTACAGTATATTGCAGATGTATAATGCAGATGTATATAATTGATGTGTAATCAAACAAAATACATCACTGCATAAAAGGTGGAATATGGAACAATGCATTGACTCTTCTTGTGTGCACCAGCCAGTACAGCAAAGTAATTTTCTGTTGTTTTTAAATCCAAATGAAAAATTAAAAAAAGGTATTTAGAAGCTGCTTGTGATATATTGAAGGGCTGTCAGTACAATAAAGCACGGTGCCTATTCTTTATAAATAAACATGATTGGCCATTAAAATGAAATCTTAGAAAATGCAGGCCAAACAAAAAATAATTCGATAATTCACCAGTTTAGATATCAATCTGTTGAAAGAAACGAGGTTGAGATATTCCAATATCTTCTGCGCCTTTTGCTTATAAAAGTTTTGAAACAGTATTTATTTTTAAGGATATCATAAATAAAGCAAAGTGGTGGCAGGTCCACTACAATATCACCAGAAGATTGGTTATCAAACACAGAGCACATTTTTATGGCCCAAAATATAGTGTGCCCCTTTCATTTATGAAAATATCCAGTCATATTTCTACAAAGACTCAGCATGCTAACATAAGCATTTGGTGCCACCTACAGGATTTCAAATATGCTGGGAAAATGTATCTGTATAGTAATGTTGTTTAGTTAACTCTCTCTTAATTCAGTTGACAAGAGAACTGTGAATTCTATGAAGCAAAAAGTATTTCAACTTTTGAAAAAGGAACTAATATAGATTGTAGAAGTTTTGTATAATGTAAATCACTACCATTTGATTTGTCATTTGTTGTACTACTTAGAATACATATCAAAGGATAAGTGCCTTCGGTCTATCCATTATGATCCATGTGCTTCTACTATGGAGGCTCTTAAAATTGATAGAGTTAGGAACTGCAGAATATTGGGGTGCCATGAAGGGAGTCTGCAAATACGCATGTATTTGCAAATGTGTGATAACTAAACCTCTGTTTTTAAAGCATACTGTTACGACAGTTCGGTTTGTTTGTAAGCTGGTCGGTAAGTTGAGCTGGGAATTTTTCACCTTTATTGTTTGACAGGTGATGCCTTTCCATCTGCCCCTTGCTGTTAAGGCCAGTTATAGATTAGGGAAATTGCCATTTGTTTGTACTGTTGACATACAGGTGAGAGGCGCACCAGTCTATCCATTGTGATACATATGCTTCTACTATGGAGGCTCTCAAAATTTACAGAGTTAAGAACTGCAGAATATTGGGGTGCCGTGAAGGAGCTCTGCAGCTTACGTGTGTATTTTCAAATATGTGCTAACTAAACCCCTGTTTTTAATGCAAACTGTGAGACAGGACATTTCTGTTTGTTGCATACAGTTTGGTAAGTTGAGCAGGGAATTTTTCTCTTTTATTGTTTGTCACAGGATAAGTGAACCTTTTGAAAATGTTTACAATATTTAAAATGACTAAGAAAGAGCAACAGCTGTTTTTTTTCTCCTGCCTATTAATATTGTTATATGGAGAAGTAAGCTTTTTGTTGGACTGCTCCCTATTGACCATGACTCAATCCAACCCAGAGCTCAGCTGGCCATCTTTTAACTCAAAGGGGAAGGGGGTCGGCAGTTTCCGATGTGATATATGGGTGTTGGTCTTTCCAGTGCACAAAACATTGTTGAGAATTTCTGGATAATTTCATTGTTATCATCAGTGTAATCCAGTTTATTCTAAGCCATTTTGCCATTAGAAAAGGGATTAAGGTTAAATGCTAGGTTTATTGATTAAGTTTATGATTATTATTATTATACATTATTATACTGGATTTATATAGCAATGTGAGGGCAAACAGTACAGTTACAATATAATTCAATACAGGAGGAATCAGAGGGCCCTGCTTGTTAGAGTTTACAATCTAAAAGGGGAGGGTCAAGTGATACAAAAGGTAAAAATTGTGGGGAACACCAATGATTTCACACAAAGGAAGCAATACAAAGTGAACAGGATACATTGTCATAGTATATGGTACAGCGGGCCCATATCAAGAATATGAAATGTTGGGTTTATATATTCTTTAGGCTAAAGCTTAGAGCTGCACTCCAGGAAATATCTAAATCCATAAAAGGAGCAAAACTTAGTCCTGCAGATTACACTGGGAGAGCACACCCCTCTCTGTATAATCAGCAGAGCTCCGCTGTCACTGTGATAACACCCCTCTGTATCAAGAACTTTGCTTAATGAGTTATGTGCATACCTGATGCACAGAGTGCAGCAAACAGCTGTCAAAGTGACAGCAGATCACAACTCATTACATTATGAGAGCCACTCATGTCATCACTGATTTTCTGCTTTACACCCATTTGTGAATGAAAGCTATTCAGTCATGATACACTATATTGCCAAAAGTATTGGTCTTGCCTTTGCATGAACTTTAATGGCATCCCAGTCTTAGTCCGTAGGGTTCATTATTGAGTTGACCCACACTTTGCTGCTATAACAGTTTCAACTCTTCTGGAAAGGCTGTCCACAAGGTTTAGGAGTATGTCTATGGGGGTGTTTGACCATTCTTCCAGAAGCGTATTTGTGAGGTCAGGCACTGATGTCGGACGGGAAGGCCTGGCTCCCAGTCTCTGCTCTAATTCATCCCAAAGGTGTTCTATCAGGTTTAGTTGCAGGCAAGTCAAGTTCTTTCACTCCAAACTTGCTCATCCATGTCTTTATGAACCTTGCATTGTGCACTGGTGTGCTGTCATGTTGGAATAGGAAGGGGCCATCCCTAAACTGTTCCCACAAAGTTGGGAGCATGAAATTGTCCAAAATGACTTGGCGTGCTGCCGCTTTAAGAGTCCCTTTCACTGGAACTAAAAAAATAAACACCACACCATAATCCAGCTTCCAACAAACTTTACACTTGGCACAATGCAGTCAGGCAAGTATCGTTCTTCTGGCAACCACCAAATCCAGGCACATCCATCAGATTGCCAGACAGAGAAGCATGATTTGTCACTCCAGAGAACATGTCTCCACTGCTCTAGAGTCCAGTGGTGGCGTGCTTTACACCACTTCATCTGACGCTTTGCATTGCACTTGGTGATATAAGGCTTGGATGCAGCTGCTGAAAAACATTCCATGAAGCTCTCTACACACTGTTGTTGTGCTATGCTGAAGGCTACATGAAGTTTGGAGGTCTTTAGCTATTGACTCTGCAGATAGTTGGCGACTTCTGCACACTGTGTGCTTCAGCATGCACTGACCCTGCTCTGTCATTTTACGTGGCCTACCACTTCATGGCTGAGTTGCTGTTGTTCCCAGTCGCTTCCACTTTTTTACAATACCACTAACAGTTGACTGTGGAATATTTTGTAGCAAGGAAATTTCACGGATGGACTTATTGCACAGGTGGCAACCTATCACAGTACTATGCTTGAATTCACTGAGCTCCTGAGAGCAACTCATTCTTTCAAAAATGTTTGTAGAAGCAGTCTGCATGCCTAGGTGCTTGATTTTGTCCCTATCTGTTATAAATCCAGTATTATTGTTGCTGTACCCCTGTAAAATCAGCAATGAGATGTCTGAATGATTATTGGCCGTTTACTTTAATTCCAGTGATTAATAAGTGATTCATGTGGTTTGTACCACATATCAAGGCCAGCATTCCCACTGATCTGGATAAATAGCAGTTCATCAGATCAACTGATGATGTTATCTATACTGCAATGCATACAGCCTTCACCTATCTCAAGCTTCTAGACACTTATGTTAAGATGGTATGTATTGATTTTAGCTTTGCCTTCAATAGAGTAAACCTCACAAACCATACACTTAATAACCTTGGCCTAGACCCCTCACTCTGTTCATGGATTATGGATTTCTTAACTAACAGACCTCAAACTGTGTGAATGCGGAACCAACTATCCTCCACTCTCATTTCAAAATACAGAAATACCACAGGACTATGTGCTCATTCAATCAATGTTTACACATGGCTGCATCCCTGTTCATGCATCTAATAATAATAATAATTAGTATTAATTATTAATTAACGGGTGGCACAGTGGCTTAGTGGTTAGCACATTTGTCTTGCAGTAAATGGGGCATGGGTTCGATTCCTGACCATGGCGCCTCCTGCATGGAGTTTGCATGTTCTCCCTGTGCTTGCGTGGGTTTCCTCCGGGTGCTCCGGTTTCCTCCCACACTCCAAAGACATGCTGGTAGGTTAATTGGATCCTGTCTAAATTGGTTGCAATATATGTATGAATATGAGTTAGGGACCTTAGATTGTACACCCCTTGAGGGTTAGGGACTGATGTGATTGTTCAATATATATGTAAAGCGCTGCGTAAATTGACAGCTCTATATAAGTACATGAAATTAATACATAATAGTATAGTAGTGAAATGTACAGATGATACCACTCTAATTGGACTTACAATTAGGTCCATATATATTTGGACACAAGCACAATTTTAGTTTTTTTCAGGTATTTATCAAAACATTATCAAACTATAGTTATATAATGGATATGGGATGAAAGTGCACACTCTCAGGTTTAATTTGAGGCGTCCATATTGGAAGAAGGGTTTAGGAATTACAGCTCTTAAGATTAACCATCCCCCCTTTTTCAAGGGACCAAAAGTAATTGGACAGTTGAATATAATCATAAATAAAATGTTCATTTTTAATATTTTGACTGCCTGAAGTCTGGAACCCATGGTCATTACCAAAGACGGTGTTTTATCCTTTCTGATGCTTTGCGAGGCTCTAACTGCAGCTGTCTTTAGTTGTTTTCATTTGTGGGTCTTTCTGCCTTTAGTTTTGCCTTCAGCGAGTGAAATGCATGCTCAATTGGGTTGAGATCAGGTGAGTGACTTGGCCATTGCAGAATATTCCACTTATTTTACTTCAAAAGCTCCTGTGTTGCTTTTGCAGTGTGTTTTGGATCATTGTCCAATCTGTACTGTGAAGCGCCGTTCAATCAACTTTGCTGCATTTGGCTGAATATAGGCTGACAGTATATCTCTAAACATTGCAGAATTCATCCAGCTGCTTCTGTCTTCTGTCATATCTTCAATAAACACAAATGACCCAGTGCCACTGGAAGCCATGTATGCCCATGCCACCACACTGCCTCCACCATGTTTTACAGATGACGTTGTGTGCTTTGGATCATGAGCTTTTCCAAGCCTTCTCCACACTTTTTTCTTCCCATCATTCTGGTACAGATTAATCTTAGTTTCATTCATCCAAAGAATGCTTTTCCAGAACTTGTCTGGCTTTTTTAGATGTTTTTTGGCAAAGGCTAATCTGGCTTTTCTATTCTTCAGGCTTATGAATGGTTTGTACCTTGTAGTGGACCCTCTGCATTTGCTCTTGTGAAGTCTTCTCTTGATTGTAGACTTTTGATAATGATATGCCCACCTCCTGGAGAGTGTCCTTCACTTGTCTGGATGTTGTGAATGGGTTTTTCTTTACCATAGAGCGGATCCTGCGATGATCCACCACTGTTGTCTTCCATGGACGTCCGTGCCTTTAAATACTCAGACCAGCCCATCTTGCCACAACAACCACGTCATGTTCAAAGTCAATTAAATTCCCTTTCTTCACCATTCTGATGCTCGGTTTGAGCAAGTCATCTTCACCATGTCTACATGCATTGAGTTGCTGCCATGTGATTGGGTGATTAGCAATTTGTGTTACCAAGCAATTCAACAGGTATACCTAGTAAAGTGGCCGGTGAGTGTATATTTATTAATTTCTTAATGATTACAGACCTTTTATGTTAATTTTATATCGGCCTGGATTTCTGCTTCAAGGCTTAAATTTGTTGTGGATAATTTTAAGGTAAAATGTAAGGATTAAGTTTAGGGATTAAGGTTACCTTTAAAGGTTAGGACATACAGGAATGGAAACATTCTAACTGTACAGTGAAGACACCATTATATGTTGATTTAGAACAATGCACCATCATGTGATTACTAGTTATGCTATAATTTTTTTGCATATATGACTTATTTGTTTTTTAAGTAAGGATTTTTAACATACCGTGGTGAACCATTATAGGCTGCTCATTTAGTCTCAACATTGCTAGTTTTGGTTAGGGGTGTGAACAGAGCCATACTAGTTCTGTTCGATATTAACCACTTGCCAACCGTGCTATAGCCGAATGACAGCTACAGCACGGTTGTCCAGTTCTGGGAGGGTGTCATATGACGTTCTCCCAGAAAGCTCCCTCCCACGCGCCCCCAGCAGCGTGCACCCGATGATCTCCATGATCCACAGCTGATCACATGATGTGGTAAAAGGCCAATCACAGTGGCCTTTTACCATATGATCAGCTGTGTCCAATGACACATAAGATCACCAGATAAATGCAGTTGCCGGTTATAGGCTGCACTTTCCTCACACTGTCACAGCGTGACGAAAGTACTGCCAATAACCGGCAATTGTCAGAAAACAGATCGGCACTGATGTGTGCCCAGCAGTGCCACCCACAAGTGCCACCCACCTGTGCCTGTCAGTGCCTAGCACTGCCACTCACCTGTGCCCACCTGTGCCTAGCAATGCCACCCACCTGTGCCCAGCAGTGCCACCCACCAGTGCCCATCAGTGCTCCCCACCAGTGCTGCCCAGCAGTGCCACCCATCAGTGCCCAGCAGTGTTGCCAGTTGGTGCCCAGCAGTGACGCCAGTCAGTGCTGTCAGTCAGTTCCGCCTATCAGTGACCATCAGTGCCCATCATTGTTGAATATCAGTGCAGCATCATCAGTGCTGCTTCATCAGTGCCAGCTCATCAGTGCCACCTATCAGTGTTGCCCAGCAGTGCTGCCTATCAGTTCCCATCAGTGCCACCTATTAGTGCCCATCAGTGCTGTCTATCAGTGCCAATCAGTGCAGCCTCATCAGTGCCCATCAGTGAAGGAGAAAAATTACCTGTTTGCAAAATTTTATAATAGAAACAAAGAAAAACTTTTTTCCCCTAATTTTTTGCTGTTATTTTTTGTTTATAGCACAAAAAAAAACACCCAGAAGCAAGCAAATACCACCAAATGAAAGCTCTATTTGTGTGAAAAAAATGATAAAAATGTCATATGGGTACAATGTTGCATGACCACGCAATTGTCATTCAAAGTGCAACAGCGCTGAATACTGAAAATTGGCCTGGGCAGGAAGGTGGTATGCAGTAAGTGCCTGGTAGGCAAGTGGTTAAAGCACATTTCTAGATAGAAAGTAAGGAGAAGTGTATAAATGGTGGCATGCTGCAATCATGAAGGGGATGGAGTCATTAGAAGTATAAATATGGCTGTTGCTAAGGGAACATTAAGAATAAGGATTAGCGAACTAAGCAAAGTTCGGTTCAGTGGAGGTATGGAAGCTCAGGAACGTAAGTGAAACCAGAACATAGCAGCTAAGCCTATTGAAGTCTGTTCGTTTTGAAGGTAATTTTCAAGCTATTGTTAAAAGAGTCATGGGCAGTAGGGGATTGCCATGAGGTGCATGTACCAAAATAAATAAATAAACAAAACCGTTCAAGTGGAAGAGGAACCATGACCATATTTGATCAATGGTTTACCCAAAGATCCCTGGCTGATTTTTTTTTAAAAAAGCAAGTGGCCAGAGATCTGTCATTTACAAGTGGAGTAGCAGCTGGAAATAATTATCTTGCAGCAGGTTGTCATAAGGATGAGGTAACAACAATGGGTGGTGTGATTAACATTAGAGTTACATTAAGGGGCACTGTTTACCTTTTTGGGTATCATTAAAGGACTTTGCTAGCATCTGTGCTTTAATTGACTTGTATTATTTTTGGGAATGAGCAATAAGGGGTACTAATGTACCCCATATTCGTTAACCTGTGGTATGCCAGATATCTGGGGCCCCCTATTATAATGTATTCACCCATGCAAACCTGCACATTCTCTTGGGCACAAAAATGTGGGGATAAGCCCATGCAAGGGATCTAGGCTTTACTCCCCCCTTGCAAAATGCCCTTTCAGTATGGGGCCTAGTATGGTTCAGGAGGTGGGGGTGCAAGCTTGCCATCCTTCCTTTCCTGGCTAACTAGGCTGCTTGCCTAGAAAATGGCCTGGTAATTTTCCCATTTCTTAAAATGTGTAATGTCCCTTCCACTTGTGACCAGAATGGGAGAGCAGAGAGCATGCACCCACATCTCCATTTCCTAAACCATATCAGGTCACATACCTTCAACATTGGGAGGGTACCTTAAAAGGGGAAGCGCTAAAACCTCTTCCCCTTCCAAGGCACCTTTTCCCTATGTTATATAATTGTGTAGTTAGTCAGGTTTTTAAAAATTGAACTCCATCTAATTCAACCTATAGAAAAAAAATATTCCCTACAAAAAATACAATGGACTTTAATGATTCATACCAACCTTTCTCTATTTTCTTTTTCCAACAGAATCCTTGTGTGAAATGTGTCTTACTGTTAGAAATAATGCTCTTGCCTTTATGTTTAGCATCCTCTCCTAGTCCT